GATGAGAATCCACTGAAGTTAAATGGATTGTAATGTTCGAACTTTGTAAATGCTCCTGGTCAAATATATGAAGTTTTCCGATTAATAAGCTTTATAACAATACAGCTATTGCTTCCGAACTTTATAGCACACTGACTATAGCAAACTAATAATAGATACTCCTTTTTTTGGCGCGTCGCATTCGTTATATTTATAGGCGTGCAGAAGCTTTCTAGAAAGTTCAGATTATGTAACAATACAAAGATGCATTTAAGCATTTACGCACATACATATATTGTTGATTCCTACTCTCGAGAATCTTCTACAACGTTGGAGAATAGGCTGGAGTTTCGCAATACATATTTAACAGTATAAGCTATGTTTGTTTCTAAATATAAATTTAATCTAAACAAATGTCGATATTAAAATAAATATATAATAACAAATTCGTTACAATATATTCCATCATCGGCCAATCTATGAGAACAATTAATAGGAAATATCTAAAATATAAAGAACTAACACGAACTGGAGTGTTAGGCAAGGTTTGAATTTTAAGTCCAGTTCTGTTAGAAACTCACATAAGTGCATACTCACAAATTGCGAGAGGTTTTGTCTATGTAGGTGTTTTAAAACTGCCGTATGGAGTTGAGGTAGAACATTGTTAAAGACAAGGTGGTTTTTCCTTCAGTATAAGTTTAGTAGCTGTGAAATTTGCTGTTTGATTAATAAAACCTGCCGACTATTCCAAAGGAATGTTAATAAAAAGTGATTGAGTATCAAAGCTTTGCCATAATATATTTGTTAGCAACATATGCGTTAGCAGTTAGAGGGTTTAAAATGGGAACAAAGAATTTGGCATGTTTGTAGGTATAAGTGTCGAGATTCGAAAAGAAATGTCTGGAAATTGTGTTTATGAATTTTATATAGGCTAAATGTAATTCCAAGAGATGAGCCTGAAAGATAAAGTTAAATTAAGTTGTTGTCAGAGATGATTTTTTGTTTTTTACGTCTTTAAGCACATGTTTAGTTTTTGCTAAACAAAGTTTTATTATGAACAGTAAACTCAATAAGTTACCCAAATAAACCAACTCCCAGGTTAAACTCCGAATTATCTTTAAATCATCGTCTCGTATCTGGAACTTTTTCAGAACTAAGATGTTCTACCTTCACTCTCACGTTCAAAGGTCATATATAAACATACACGTGGCAACTGTAAAACCACCTACACTTGCCACACTTCCCACCATTTACAAGTACACGCCTATGTGTACATGTGAGTTTCTAATGGAACTGGTATTAAACTTAAAACCCTGCCTAATTCTCTTGTATATTCCCACAGGGAGATATCACCATATACCATTTCTTTAAAAAACTTTGAAATCCTGACTTGTGATTATAGTGATTACAAACTTTTAATAAAAAAAAGTTTACAAAATATGAATGAAAACTCAAGCCTTAACAGAAATACCAACTCTTTCTCCCTTGCTTTATTCAAATAGCTTTTTAGATGAATATTTAATATTTTAATTTCCTAATGCAGTTTTATACATTTAATGTTAGTTCACTATATTGAAATGTTTTTCTTATTGACTATTCTCGTAGATTTGTTGATGATGGTGTGTGTATAATTCCAAAACATTTACCGTATTTGTCGGTGTATAAGACGTACTTTT